CTTTTATTTCCCTCCCCAGCTTGAAAAACATGAATTAACGTTTTTTTATTCATGCTCATTCATCCCCAGCTAAGGTAGGGACCATTTTATAGTTTTAGTCTTCATATCTGTGTCCCAACATAATGAACTTTTATATTATTTAAATTAGGCAATCAATTGGAAAATTTAACAGAGAGATGAAATGGACATTGCCATGAAAGTTACCATACAGAATGCACAACCTTCTTAAGGTTCTCCTGAAACGTTACTTCTATTAACACATGTTTACACATTGAAAATATTAGTAAAACAAGGTCAAAATGGCTGCAATAAATTGCAACAAAATATATTTTCTTTGTTCTCTCATAATATTGAGCTCATCTGGAAAGTAAGTGACTTATTTTACTTGAACGCCCTTTCTGTGCTGTGAATCTCATTCTGTAGATTTCCTCTGGGTTTCTGAAGCTATCAGTTCGGCTGGGCAGGCTAAACTGGGCTCAGTAATATATGACCTATGGTCTGTAATCCTTCTGGTGCTACTCCCAAGATAGACCAAGAACGTTTTTTTCAGGAAAAGTCAAGCAGCTCTCTAATCTCTGCTGCATTGATCAACTCTGACAAGAGCGTAATGTACCTCCAACTTCAAAACAGAGTCCATGCACGAGTAGGGTATAAGTTATAGGCCAATAGGAGATTGCCTCTAGCTACTGATTAACGTGGTGTGACGCGTTTAATTTAAAGAATTCTTGAATAGACCAAAGTTTCCTTTTTAAAAGTGATATGCTAGACTTTCTAGCGAGTATAATACCACTTTTTGTTGAAAGAAGCATTTCTTTTCACGTTTTACAGGCACAACCACGACTTTTGGCACAAGGAACTGTCGAGATTTCGAATATGAGCTGATAGTTTGCGTTAAAGAGAACCTGAGGGGTTACTGCACCGTTGTACTTCAACCTACACCGAAAACAATTCAGATGGTACATTACTCGCCATACAGAGCAGAGCAGTACGTAGCCTGTTGCACCTGAGTAACAAATTACAGGAACGTTGCAGAACGGGCAGATTTCCCGGAATACCTGTTACATTTGATCATTTAGTTGAGGTGGGTTTTTTTATCATTTACTCTGCCATCACTTCACAGAGCCGGGATTACACGAGGAACACGGTGGACTCTCCTTGATAATCCAGAAGATTTATACCTGAGATTGTCATTTTCCCCTACCTCTTTCTCACGTACCTTTGGACGCAGCTACAGCGGCCAGTTCGTGCATGTAAGGTGTCTCCCAGCGCTCCATCACCGGCTTCCCCATGATCTCCAGGTGCGTGTCGGCCGCGTTGTAGTCTGCAGCGGCGCCTGTCCACACCGGCTTGCAGTTCTCGCCCTCGGCAAATATCGGCTGCGCGGCGGTGCTCATTGCGGCTCGTTGGAGGAGTATTTCACAGCGAAGAAAGTTCAGCGAGGAGAGGAAGGGGAAAACTAGACGGGGGAACTATGAAGCGATCGGGAAAGGCAGACGACCGAGCACCGCGGCGGCACAAGGGGGGTCTCGTAGGAAAGGGGGAGTGTTTGGCAAAGGCAAAGGGTTTTAACTGGCCAAGACTGCTGATCTTGCAAATCGCCGGCAGAAGTCAATAAAACTGCCTCCCGAGTGGTCGAATACTAAGTAGATAAGAAGCACGGGCACCCGTGTGGGTTGGCCTTGGAGCGGCTAACAGCTGTCAAGAAACTTTGTAAGCGAGCTGCTTGTGTGTGGTTTGTGACAAGCAAGATCCGCGTTGGACGTATTACTGTAGTTGTTATTATTAATACTGTTTTTGAATAATAAAAAATAACATTATGTTTCACAGCTCCCCGAAGTTATAGTATTTCTCAAATGGCCCATACACATTATAGGCATAGAAGTTGTCTCTGCGTTCAAATCAAACATTCAATTGACATGAAATCAGGACACTTGTTAAACTGATTTTTAGTTATGATTGTCCATTAATTGGCCCTCTATTACAGTTTAGAAATAAAACCATGCCAGGCAAAACAATCCTGGACATTTGTTGCGTGTGGCGTCGGTGCTTCAGTCCTCTGTTTCGGTGAAATCCTGAACGAGACACCATTCAGTCACTTTTAAAGTTCCATTTTTGCTCACTCCTAGTGTACAAGTACAAGAGAAAGGTTTTGTGTTCCCAACCAGCAAAAGTAGGGATTATCAACTAGCATCAGCCTTCAAAGTTTTTTTTAGCCTTTTGGAAATAGCTGAAGCCATCTCTTTCTCTGCCTCTGCCTCTTCCTCTGTCTGTTTGTCTCCGTCTCTTCCTCTGTCCGTCTCTGTGTCTGTCTCTGACCCTGTCTGTCTCTGCCTCTGTTTTTGTCTGTTTGTCTCTCTCTTTGCTGGTGGAAACTCAGAATGGTGGATAAGTCTGCAGGCAGCTGGAGGTGAGGCAGTCTGTCCTTGCACCGAGGCTTGGAGAAGTAACACGTCACCCAGACATTTATCTTGCACAGCTGAAACATTTAACAGCAGTGCTGCACTTGAACTATGGCTGATTAACAAACTGTACGGTGGCAGCTGACCTCCTTTGACGTGTCCTGTATAGGACATATGCAGATCACAGAATGCCATGGCTGTTTTTTAGTGATTTTATTCGTTATCTTATTAGTTAATTAATTAATTTGATCAAAATTACTTTTCAATGCATTTGCACAAGACTGAAAAAAAAACTACTAGTAGTCTCCTTCCACAGCTCTTATCAGCCAGAGCAAACCTGATAAATCCATTAAGGAGAGCATGAGGTTGCTCTTTGACCCTGGATTATGCTTTTTATTAAACATGTACCAGTTTTGGTCTAACTGCAGAGTGTTTTTTGAAGAGAACACACATTCACACAGTTTTTATCACTGGCTTCATGGTCTGCCTGACCAAAGTCCAGATATTAGGTTGTCATACATGAGAACTCATCAATGTCTGTGAAACTAGTCTATGCATGTGTTGCTTGTACCTCCTTTTGGTCTAACGTAGTCAGTTATGACAGAATATGAATTAATGTTCAGTTTGCATTTTCAGGTGAATCTGTCTACAAGTTGCACATTGGAACACAGATACCACCTCAATGAATTGAAGGAGACTGAGGTGTGATCTCAGGGAGGCAGTAAAATAGTATAATCTTAGTAGTATAATCTAGAAAGTATAATATAGACCCATAGAACCATAATTACTGCACTTTTCATGTTATGGTATATAACTGATGGACATCTGTTGACCTACAGTACTGGGTCCTTGGTGCTGGGTCCTGGATTATATTTTGACCTGTGGCACCCTTTCTGTGAAGGGTGGCCGCTCTCCCTGTGTCTGGGTGGGTGTCCTCCAGCCTCATAAGGATATTCTAGTTTGGATAATGGGTTCTTCTAAATTCTCCCTGTGTGCTTGTGTATGTTCCCAGTGAAAAGCAGACATGCCTTCCAAGATGTAGTCCTACTTTATACCTTATGGTAGCTGGATAGGCTCCTGGTGGCCACAGTGCTTGCTAGGATTAAGAGGTTGTCTAATAATGGGTGGATGGTAACACGTTTCGAGCAATACTGAGAAATTCCAATAGATGGCACACATTCTATGTGGTAGGTGGATGCTGCTCTCAAGTACCACGAGTTTCATAGCAACAACTGTGGTGGAAGCAGGGAATCACCATTGTTGTAGCAGGTACAGGCGCTGTCTTAATCCGTTACGTTTTGCAAACTACAGAGCATGGATAGGCATCAAATACTGGACCTTCCAATTGATTGCATTGCATTGATGTTGCTAAAAGTAGCTTGTTAATTTACATTACGTTATTAAATGGCTAATTGCGCCAGAGTCCGGAGCATGAATGGACCAAAAGGCCAAGAGTCTGATGAACTCTGCAACACAGCCACCTTTAACCTTCAGGCCTGGGGGCTCATCATTGCAGCATTGGGCAACAGTGTAGCTCAGTGTAGCTGTACCCCAAGTATCTCAGATTAAAGGATGACCACTTTGTCCAGGTCACTCAGGTAGGTAGTATTAATGTATTACTTTTCATATATATTAATACTATATATATAATATACTAATATATAAAGTATTAAACTGACCATCGGAGGTGCTTGTTTTCACTATTGCAATCAGTAGGTATCAAGAGCTTTCAAATGTAGATTAATCAAAAGCTTCACTATGATCTGAGCACTGAGGAAGGGGGGAACAAGATTGCTCCACAGTGTTGACCATCTGTTCTCTTGCCTCAAAGATAAGGATGACAGTTTCTTAATTGAGGGAGGCATCATTCTGCACTCATCTAGCACAGTTTCACAGTATGAGGCTGCAGTACTACAGATGTTCACTTGTCGAGAATACAGGCACTGGTGCTGAACACGCAAGATGAAAGCAGGATGCCAGAGTCTGCCTACCTAAAGCAATAAATCTGAGTTGGGGATCTTTGGGAGGGATGGTGGAACAGTGGTCAGCATTGCTAAGTTCAGTTCCAGACTTGGGATGCTGTCTGCGAGGAGTTTGAATGTTCTCCTTGTGTTTGTATGGGTTCCCTCCAGGTGCTCCAGTTCCTCCCCTTCCACAGTCCAAAGACAGGCAGGTAGGTTAAGAGGCTTCTGGATTGCATTGGCCCTGTTGTGTGTCTGTGTGAGTCTTGTGATGGATTGGTGTCCTCTCCAGGGTGTAACCTGCCTTGCGCCAGTTGCTGTACTCTAGATCATCATAAAATGCTGTACATATTGTGTACATATTTCTTTGTCTTATAGGTATAGTTTTGATGTCCCTTGCACTCATTGCACAGATACTAGTGGACCATAGAGAGTGTTCGTGGACAGTGGACAGTGGGCAGTGGGCAGAGGGCAGTGGGCAGTGGGCAGTGGGCAGCGGGGAGTGTCAGTGGGCAGTGGACAGTATGCAGTGGGCAGTGGGCAGTGTCAGTGGGCAGTCGTGATCAGTTAACCTGGTAATGTCTTTAATGAAGTGATTTACACACCATTTGGAATAAGCATCAAGATCGTGCAACCATTGACAACACTTTGAGCAGCAGTTTCAATTTTCCGACGATAACGATGCCCCCTCCCTCCCCACTCGCATCCAATAGGTAACCCGTATCTGACAACTTACCGTCCTTGCTCGGTAGCGCGTCATACACGCACGCAACCCCACAGACACACACACACACACAAAAACTCCATCTCCCACAAGGCGCTTCTCGGGAGGCCGTACAGGGTGACAACCAACCCCCTGCAGGGGGACCCCGTGGCCTCGCGTCGCCGTTGCGCAGATTCAGTTTGAACCAGAAGCGGAGTGACCTTCCCGGGGAGCTGACGAGAGGCAGACAGCAGCGGAGCCCTGGCACCAGTGCGCACGGTCGTCCTCCTCACCCTGCCGCAGACATGAACAGCAGCTTAGCCGGCGACGAGATCGGGTAAGACGCGAGCAGACCGCGGCGGGACGGGAACCGACGGGACAGGGCAGCCGCCTGCAGCCGAGAGAGCTGCCGGTGGCCTTGGCGCCTGCCTCGGAGTTGCCTGACTGGGACAATCCAGGGAGAGGTAGTCGGAAAGGGATGTTCGAGAGATGTCCGGGTTTGGGGGGGGG